AGAAAACTTTGAATAAATAACATAGAAGAAAAATTATGAGTGCGTTCACAATGGCATGTATTTTTCTTCATCTGTTCTTACATAAAGAAATTATTTGGAAGACCTATATCACTGACTTTTGGTATTCCTTCTATTTTTTATCAATTAGTGCACATGAATCTCTTTTCTATTTAGAGGGACTTTCTGTCCATGGGTGTTACACAATAAACAAAGATAGGAGAATGAACAGATTAGATTATGTAATCATTGGCTGGCGCCGTGGCTCAATAGGCTAATCCTCCACCTAGTGGTGCCGGCACACAGGGTTCTAGTCCCGGTCGGGGCGCCGAATTCTTTCCCGGTTGCCCCTCTTCCAGGCCAGCTCTCTGCTGTGGCCCGGGAAGGCAGTGGAGGATGGCCCAAGTGCTAGGGCCCTGCACCCCATGGGAGACCAGGAGAAGCACCTGGCTCCTGCCTTCGGATCAGCGCGGTGCACCGGCCGCAGCGCGCTGGCCGCGGCGGCCATTGGAGGGTGAACCAGTGGCAAAAGTAAGACCTTCCTCTCTGTCTCTCTCTCTCTCACTATCCACTCTGCCTGTCAAAAAAAAATAAAATAAAATAATAGACTATGTAATCAGCAGATTATGAGTGACTCAATTTTATTCATACAAGCTAAACACAATGTAACTAAACTCACTCTAAAAGTCCAGGGGGTCTTAAGATTTAGAAATAGGAATATGCAATGCTTGAAACCTGAGTCTCACAGCTCCTCCACAGTGGCCTCAGTTTCATATAATACTCTATTTCTAAAATGATTGTGATCATCCTGATAGCAAAACACACACACATGTATATAAACACACACCCCTCAAAGCATATAGTTGGAGAAATCCAGACACCTTTTGCTTTTATGTTTCTGAATTTACACAAAATTCAAAGACAAAGCTTACAATAAATAATCTCAAAAATGTGTATAAATCTGTAAGTAGATAAAAAATGATACTTTTTGCTCCTATTAATTTATTTTGACCAAAAAACAGCTTAGAATGTGGCTTATGCACACGTTTTATTTGCAATCCTAAATGTAGATAGCATAAAATGTACTTCCACGTCTTGGCAGTTCCCTAAGACTTCTCAAAAGTTTGCTGACACCTACTTAGGAAGGACCAACATGCTCACAATGTGTACTCAACTTTTAACCTGGGATTGATAAGTATAAAGCTCCATTTCAGGAGTGAGATATTTATAGAAACGGGTAAAGAACAAATATTCATTTAGCACCAATTATTTCTGAGTGTTATATTAAGAACTTAACATAGGTTATTTCATTTCTTTAAACAGCTCTTCAAATTAAACATTAATAGTCTCTTATTAAAGATATTGAAAGCAATGGAGTTGAATTAACGTTCAAATTCTGACAGTTGAAATTCAAACTCAGGTCTGACTGGCTCTGAAGCCCGTGAATACTTTCTTTTCTTTCTTTTCCTTCCTTCCTTCCTTCCTTCCTTCCTTCCTTCCTTCCTTCCTTCCTTCCTTCCTTCCTTCTCTTTCTCTCTTCTTCCTTCCCTCCCTCCCTCCCTCCCTCCCTCCCTTCTTTCCTTCCCTCCAGATTTATTTACTTGAAAGTCAGACTTAAACAGGGAAGGAGAGGCAGAGAGAGAGAGAGAGAGGTCTTCCATCTGCTGGTTCACTTCCCAACTGGCTGCAACAACCAGAGCTGTGCTCATCTGAAGCCAGGAGCCAGGAGCTTCTTCTGGGTCTCCCATATAGGTGCAGGGGCCTAAGTTCTTGGGTCATCTTCTACTGCTTCCCCAGACCATAGCAGAGAGCTGGATTGGAAGTGGAGCAGCTGGGTCTCGAACTGGCACCCATATGGGATGCTGGTACTGCAGGCGGTGGCTTTACCTGCTATCCCACAGCATTGGTCTCGTGAATACTTTCTTCATTGTACCTCCTGCTTCCCTACATGTCTACTAAGTAACACATACTCTTACATAATAATTCTTTTTCAAAATCTTTCAGGACAAGAGATAACAATAGGAATTACTTCAAGATATTTTAAATGAAATATGTCACATGTTCCCATTCATATGCAGATTTATTGAAAACCTTATGGGAACCCTTTTTCCTTTTCTTTCAAGCAAGTAAATCTTCAAGATTCAGACCAAATCCAAGACAACGGCAGCTTCCTTCTCTGAGTTTTATAGTACATAACTTCTAATGTAATTCTGTTGAGTTTTTAATATTCATCGTTGCTAATTTTGCCTGACTAGACATACTAGGTTTTCTGGGTCAAAGATTTCTATTTGTTTACAATAAAGAATGCAGGTGCTATTATTTCCCTGAGGTGTTGCAATGAAATCCAGATCGAATGTCCTATTCATCCAGAGTGTACATCATAGGCAATTTATTTAAAAACAAATTCCCTCTGCTTATATGGGTATATCCCTCCCTCTCCTAGTTAGTGACATGGAAAGTGTATAGAGATGAGGGATCCTGAATTCTAACTCTAACTTTTGGCAGGTGAATAGATGTTTCCTCCAGACAGATAAGCCTAATGTTTCCAGCTTCACAATCAAAAAATGTTTCTAAGGTCTCAGGCCTGATTCCCTTTGAAATGCAAACATAAACCTCTGGAATTAGGTACATTTATCTGGAATTCTCACTATATATACAGTTGCAAATTTCTTTTCATAGCTTAATCTTTCAGCAGAAGTCTCAAGTCTCAGCCAGTTTGTTCAGAAGGACCACAGTACCCAAGGACGTAAAAATAATTTCTCTATAACAAAGTTCACATTTATTGAAATGTTTCTTTTCCTTCTATGTGATGCACTTCTGTAAAAAAAAAAATGCCTTTGTTTCTCTAGTATCCCAGAACAGTATGTGACACAGAATCTATGCTTTATGAGCAGGATGATCTTATTTCCTAGTTTGCCTAACACATCCCCAGTTTATTTCTGTTAGCTCAATGTAACCGTCTTTCTAACTCTTTCATAATTTTGAAAAATGTATAGGTCTTCAGAAAAGTTGTATGACTAGTATACTGAATACCCATGTATTTCATTGAGTTGTTCAGTTTAGTCATTTACTTTCTTTCTCCCTCTGTGCTCTCTTACACACACACACACACACTCACACAGTCTTTTCAGAACTATCTGAGAGCAAGTTATAGACATCAAGACAATTTAAATTGGAATGCTTTAGCATGTATATCTCAAGAACAAGAATATTTTCCAAGCCCTGATTAAAATTACCAAAGACAAAAACTTTAACCTTGCTATATAGCACACATGAAAAATTTTCCAGCTGTCCCAATAGCGTTTTGCATTGCAATGCTTTTATGTTTATTTTTGAGATTCAGAATCCAATCCGAAACTGCACACTGAATTTACATAAAATGTCTCTTTTACTTTATTTTTAATCTAACAGCTCTCTGCCTTTTTTGGATTTTCATAGTACTATTTTGGCAAAAAACCGTAATGGCACCCCTTTCACCCTCAAAAGTGTGTTAGCTTGGATAATAAATTATTTATCTCCTTATTTACATGTGTTGGAAGAAAATGCTCCATGAATATTTTCATGTTTCTACACAATCACATCTTTCAGAACAAAGAGCTTAAAGGACAATTGAGTAACAACCCTATAGACAGAGACTCTGGAGAGTCAGAAATCTCTCAGGCCGTTTGCAGGATAGTGAAGTAGTGACTTTCTTGTTCTATAGAGGATTTGTTTGCATTCCAGACTAAAGTTTGTCTTTCTTCTTCCAAGGACAGGATGGATGGTCAGCACCCTATGTGAGTGCCAAGGCTCATATATCAGAGAAAAGAACTGTTGTGGGGCTAAATCTGGCTCTCACTGCATTGTCTCAGGGACTTTGGGTATGGAAACTGAGACAGCCGCCGAGATGTTCTGTGAGTGAAAGCTCCCTCCTCTGACCTAGAGGTGTCATGTTTCCATGGCAGGCTAACTCTAGACATCTAAGCATTTTAGATTTAATTAAAAATGTCAGGAGGGGCACTACATAAAAAGACTTGGTTTCTGACCACTAAGAATTTATAATCTAGTGAGGGAAATTGACCTGAATTAAAATACAAAGAGGAAAATGTACTATGTGATATGGTCAAATACTGCACTGCAAAATTGTGGAGAAAAGATATATCAATTGCTATTAGCAGGATGAAGCAGGGCTTCCAGGAATGAGTGATAAGGAATCTGGACAGCCAAAGATAGTAAAAACCTAAGTCACTTGCAGAAAGCCACAATAAGCGACAAACTGAGTTAGTATTCTTACCTTTTTTAACACTCAGAGAAATCAGCACAAACTAAGCTCTGCACTTGATTAATTGACTCAGAGTAAATAAAAATAAGCCAAGTTAACCTAATTGTCTCAGAGAATAATAATTTTAGTATATGCTACATACTTTTATTAGTTCAAAATTAATTTTAATACCTCTTCAAAGTATTGGACTATCACATCAACTTGAACACATACTCATACATTTTATATTAGTGAGTTGTTTACCTATGTCTTGATAAATCTATGTTCTTGATTTGCATACCATAGAGAGAATGCATAGAATAGAAAAGGATGTCTTTTAGCTATAGATTTAAAAGATGAGTATAATTCAAACTGTTAAGTCCCCAAAAACATCTGTTTTCAAAGAAAATATATCATCTTACAATGTAAGAAAATTGAAGCCATGGTTTCAAATATGAGACTAATGAAAAACTTTATTATATCAAGATTAACATACATGGATGGGTGAGGAAACTATTTTATATATATATGAAAAGAAAATGGATACAAATTAGCAATCAGCATAGCACAGATAGAATAAAATAATTGAAATGAAATCTGAGATGCATAAAATATTCTAATGCTAGGCTTAGGAATGCATTTATTGCATTTTATTTTTCAGCTATAGAAAACAATGTTAAACAATTCTCAATTTAAATTAATTATTGTGAGTTACTCTATAAACATTGCAAAAAGATTTATCAGAATTTCTAAAGAGTAGCATTATAAAACTATTTCAAATGAAAGTCAGATAAATAATATGTTTGGAGGTAAAATTGAAAAATAAAATCCAGATACTATATTTATAGTGAAAACAGAATGGAACCCTGAAAGCTGAGGCTAAAAAATCCAGCATATATGGTTCTGATATATTCTGTTAGAATTTACAGTATTACTGGTAATACTTTCCAGCTATCAAGTATTCAGCTTTTGAAAACTACTTATCTTTTCCATTGAAGTCAAATATCTGATATGGGCAGAGTTTGCTCTTATGTACACAACTAGAACTTCAAAGTCAATACATCATGGGGAAAATAATAAGCAACTTTTGTTCCATGACTAGTAACTCCCATTCATGTTTTATTGAGGTGACTCAACATTATGTGGGTAATGATATTGGTTATATGTATTCAAGGACCAAACGTACAAAAAATAAAAAGACTGAAGAGCAATATCCTGGGATATCTTCATAGTAACAGTGGAGAGAAGACATTTATAGGAAACAGTGCACAAGACTAGTCTCAATGTTTTTCTCTAAAGAAAATAATTTAATTCTCCAAAAGCAAATAACATTGCCTGTAGAATATCAGAACAGGAGAATGTTTATATAAATTTAAGATTGAGAGTAAAAAGGCCTAAAAGGGTTGAACAAAAGGAAGAAAATGAGGGAGGGAGGGGAGGAGGGAGAGAGAAAGGAGAAGAAATTTCCTGAACCTGCTCTAGGTTCCCTCTCTGCATTGTGGCCATGTCCTAAAAAGCAGGGATTTCAAAAAAATATTATCAGATCCACTGTTAAAGCGTGACATAGGAAAATGTCCAGGAAAAAGAACGGATGCATAACAAGAGATGATATGCTTGGATGTCAAGGGGTAGCCCAGTAAAAGGGTAGTCCAATATTCTAAGTAATTAGATAAGGCCTGATATCTTTACTAAGCAATATAATAAGAGAATCTTCTCATGCTTAGGCAAACTCATCATTCAAGTCAAGCAATGGCAAAACCTCCAATTAATAGTAACAATAATTTATACTTATATAACATATTTCAATGCGTATTCCTTAACCTAATCATCAGAACCAGTAGACAGGTAAGGTCTTATTGCTGATGTTTATAGATGAGGAACACACAGGCCTTCTATTGTCTTTGTTTTAAAAATTTATGTTTATTTATTTGGAAGGCAGAGTTACAGGGCTGGGGGAGGGGAGCTGGCAGGTTGGTGAGTGAGACAGACAGAGAAAGAGAGAGGTTTTCCACCTCCTGATTCACTCCCCAAAAGGCTTCAATGGCCAGGGCTGGGCCAGGCTGAAGCCAAGAGCCTAGAACTCCATCCAGGTCTCCCACTTGGGTGCAAGAGGCCCAAGCACTCAGGCCTTTGCTTTCCATTGCTTTCCCAGTCACATTAGTAGTGAGCCAGATCAGAAGTGCAGCAGCCTGGACTGGAACTGGTGCTCAGATGGGATGCTAGTATTGTAGGTAGCAGCATATTTAACCCACTGTACCATAGTGCCAGCCCCAAGCCTTATATTGCTTTCCATCACTCATAAAAGCAGTGATAAAAGTAAAATGAGAAGCCAGCTCCTCTCAACTACTTGTCCATTGCCTATATTTTTATACTATATGATATCCTCAGCCTGGTTGTATTGGAAAAATATACTGAAAAAAAGGCTAAATTTTCTTTTATGACTTCACTGCTTACAAAAGAAGTCTTCAGCATGGAAATATTCAGTTAACATAATAGACTCCAGTTTTATATATTTTTTTACAGAAAGTTTTTAGTTTTTAATGAACTTATAAACAAAAAATGTACCAACTTTAAAATAAAAATAAAATCCCAGGTCATATAGATATTTAAAACAATTTCATTTATCTAAGCAACATATATACATGTCCAGTTGTAATTTGTTAACTAAATTTCTATGGCAAATATGCTTTTAAAAAAAAAAAAAAACAACTAAGAACATTATAGAGTTAATGCAGAGTCCTAAGGACTATCACTAAGTTTTTTTAAGTCTTCACTTTAAATGCTGTTATTTCTAGCACAGGTAAGCAGGCAGTCTTTTGTATGCTCAAACACCAGAATCTTTGGTTGCTACCATATCAGCTCATTTGCAAACAAGAAGCTAACCATTTCAAACATGTTTTAAATGAACAACTTGCAAACTCCTGGGGTGGAAAAACCCTAAGAATGAACAATTGTGAGAATTTACAACCACCACAACTGAGGCTGAAGACCGTTCATACCGTTCCTCTGAAACGAGATTTCAAGGTAACAGAACTGAAAGTAAAGGATCTTAAAAAATGCCATGTGCACAATTTCTCCACTAATTTCTGTACGTCAACCAGTTAACTTTTCCACTTGAAAAAAAAAATGTTAACAGAAAACCAGACACCATATTTCACTATCTCAGTTAATATTCACAATTACAATGGTTACAACTCAGGATACAGCATCATCAATGCTGCCCAGAGCCAGTTTATAATGAAATTAGGTTTTTTTACACCAAGTAAATGGTTATCCCCAACCACCGGCTATTGTATATATGAATTAAATTTCTAGACTGGGGAGAAACACATGCTGCTTGGGTCATCCGCTCGGCTTCTTCTGTTCCACAATCCTGTTAGAAACCTTTCATGTTATGCTTGGCTTTGTCGGTTTGCTTGCCTGCGGGGCTTTGGGGCTGCTGAACCTGCCCACTGGAAGATGCTGCCTGTTGTGTTCCTTTCTGCTTTAACATTGTCCAATCAAATGTGTAGTCGTATTGGTGGTGCAGGGTCCTGAAAAGGATGCGGAAGAGCTGCCTCAGATACATGTAATCTGGAGCTTCCTCAAAGCGCAGCCCACGGCAGTAGTTTAAGTACATGGCAAACTCCGTAGGAAACCCCTTACATAAAACTTCCACAGGAGTGGACATCTTCTTCTCACTAATCTTTTCGTATTTTTGTTTCTTTGTTGCAGCCTTCAGTCCTTGCCATGGCAGGCTGGTTCTATTAAAATACATCAAAACGTATCCTAACGACTCCATGTCATCCCGGCGACTCTGCTCAATACCGAGGTGTGCGTTGATGCTGGCATACCGCGCAGTGCCAGTGAGGTTTTTATCTTCTCTGTACGGTATGTGTTGCCTGGTCCTGTTGTCTCGGTACTTTTTGGCCAAACCAAAATCAATAACGAATAACTTATTACAGTGCCGTCCAATGCCCATGAGGAAGTTATCTGGTTTAATGTCTCTGTGTATGAAATTCTTTGTATGCACATATTCAATTCTGCTGATCATCTGGTCAGCCAACATAAGGACAGTTTTCATTGTGAACTTCCTTGAACAGAAACTGAAGAGGTCTTCGAGGCTGGGTCCCAGAAGATCCATGACCAGCACGTTATAGTCTTTCTCCTGACCATACCAGCGTATGTGCGGGATGCCGACCCCACCCTGAAGAATCTTATAGAGTCTGCTCTCGTACAGCAACTGAGGGTGCCTGGCCTTCTGCGATTCCAGCTTCACTGCCACTTCCTCGCTATTGGTGAGGTTAACCGCCAGATAAATGTCCCCGAAGGAGCCAGACCCGATCTTCCGGACCAGTTGGTATTTCCCTCCGACGATTAACTCGGCCTTGGAGCCGCTGCTGCTCGCCATCCTGAGAGACGAAGATGGAGGCTGGGGCAAAGCCCCGACACCTCGGAAGGGACGACGGAGGCCTCTGAGGCTCGTCCAGGGGGCAAGGCTGTGGAGAAGGGCGGCCGGACGCGGACAACCGAGGCCTTCCCCTCCGGTACAGGGCGCAGAGTCGTCCAAAGGGGACAGGCTCACCGCTGCTCAGCCAGGTTTCTTTGTGCCCGGCCGCCGATTGTGAGGCAGTTGGTGGGGTTACTAGGCTGGGCCTCTGGTTTCTGGGCAGCTGCTGCTGACTCGCTTTCGTGGTGACGTCGTGGGCTGGCAAAGGGGCTCCGTGAGTCAGGGTGGAGAGACCGCTGCCGCTAGAGCCGCCGCCCCTGCCCGGAGGGACCTCTCTCACTTGGCCCATGCCGCCATCTTGTTACTCAGGCGCCAGCCCTGAATCCAGTTTCATTAAATCTTCCTTCCTCTTTCTGTCCTCTAATGAAATGTTAGGCAACCACCGTGTTTCCAAAGATTTAAGATGGAAAAACCGGCTGCAAATATTAATGAATGTTATTTGAACCGTTGGTAAAATGATGTACATTTTAAGGAATGTGATGGTGATGCAAGGTGTTTTGAACAGAGTAAAAAAAGTAACGAAACTTGAATTTAAGGTATAAAATATCCATTCCAATTATTAACTCAATATTTATTATATCTTAAACTTTATAAAGTTTATCGAGGTCATATCAGAGAGTAACACAAATCTTTATTTCCATTTACTTTTTATTTTGATACCTTCACAACACATTGCACTAAGGTTCACTATAGACCACTGACAGAATGTACTGAACAATGAGAAGCCATGGCAAAGGTATTTCCAATTCTGTAATATTCACAGTTTTCAATTAGAGCACAAGTAGACTTTTTAAATGTGCTATCGAGAAATTCATCGCCTGTGAAACAAAAGCACACAGAAAATGAATGGATAGGAAAGTCTGTTTCAGTGAACTGTAAGCAATAGAGCCAGAGGAAAAAAGAAAGCAAAAACTTTAACTTCCCTTTATCTCTCTGTCTATTCCAAAGCATGACTGCCTTAATATTATACCTGTGGAAGACACTCATGTGAAAACCTACAAGATCCCAGGGCTACTATCCGTCAGCACTTGGTTTTCAGTCAGCTGTAGGTTCTCCCCTTGAGTATTAGCACAGAATAACTTGACTTATGTATTTTCAGTGGATGCAAATGTCAACCTTATCACCAAGGAAGACATACAGTATCCAGTTCTGGAAGCTGAATTCTGTTTCATAATGAGCTCAAATCTCCCACTGTGATCAGAACTTATAGCAAGAAAAGCCAGAGGTCAGTGTGCACAGAGGGTTGCCTCAGTGTCCCACTCAGTTCATGGACCTGCTTGAAAATGTCAGTTTCCACAGTATGTCTTGGCAAGCTGCTTTTAAGGAAGTATATAGCTAAAATAAAGCAGAGATGGGGAAAATAACTTCTTTCTTTTTGTAAAGAAAACCATAACTCATCCAGTTATTATGAGAGTGTCTTTTGCTTTTTTCCACATTTCCTTGAAATGTGCAGGGGAAAATTATCAATACATAAAATGTAGTCAACATAATCACCATTAGATTTCAACTGTTGTGCTTGTGCAGTACTGGGGTTGTCTGGTCTACAGAAGTGATAATGTGGCCTGAGCCCTAAGGTTCACTTAAACTGTTTTGTTCCAAAATGGCGTTGGGTTCTTGGGATACCATAGCAAACAATAGGCTGGGTGGCTTCAACAAGACATGTATTAATTTGCAGTTTGGGAGGCTACAAGCCCAGTTGTTCACATGTCTGTTTTCTTGAAAGATGTCTTTCCTTGGTTTGTAAAAGACCAGCTTCTTGTGTCTTCCCACATTTTCCTTTTGTGGGTATCTCTGGTATCCAAGTACATGTCCAAATTTCCTTTTCTTAAAAGAACACCAGATTGGAATTAGTGTTCATTCTAACAGCTTCATTTTAAACTGATTATATCTTTAAAAGACATTTCCAGCCACATTCTTAGGTACTAGGATATAGGACTTCAGCATATGGATATATATATATATATATATTTTTTTTTTTTTGACAAGCAGAGTGGACAGTGAGAGAGATAGACAGAGAGAAAGGTCTTCCTTTGCCGTTGGTTCACCCTCCAATGACCGCTGTGGCTGGCACGCTGTGGCCGGCGCACCATGCTGATCTGAAGCCAGGAGCCAGATGCTTATCCTGGGCTCCCATGGGGTGCAGGGCCCAAGCACTTGGGCCATCCTCCATTGCACTCCCTGGCCACAGCGGAGAGCTGGCCTGGAAGAGGGGCAACCAGGACAGAATCTGGCGCCCCGACGGGAACTAGAACCCAGTGTGCTGGCGCCGCAGGCAGAGGATTAGCCTAGTGAGCTGCGGCACCGGTCAGCATATGGATATTGAGGGAAATAATTCAGCCTATAACATCCACCATGTGTAAATGAAAATTGGTACCTACCATAATTTATTGGCATGTAGCAGTTATAGTCAATAGACAAATTTTCCAAATTATATTTCTATTTTCAGCATCAGTACTAAGAATTTCATAGATTGACTAGTGGTCCTTACACTAGTGTTCTGGTACAACCGTTCATGTTTCCTATGTCTACCTTTTTATCTTGGGCTCTTATTTTAGTATACCTATTGTACTAATGTCCATACTTTGAAGACAGCATTGTATGACAGGGAGCTAAGAGCTAAAACCAGTCTGTATGTATATCCTAAGTAGACCTGCTGCTAATTGTGTGATCTTGGAAGGCCTCTATGCCTCAGTTTTCTCATTTGTAAAATCAGTATACCAGGGCATTTCAAAATCTTCATGGAACATGGAATTAAAAGATACTATTATTTTGGTCCCAAAAATGCTGAAATTCATGCACAGATCTTTAGTAATTTTGTGATTCATGAACTTTATAAAGATCCCTCAAGAGAATTTTTACATCAAAATAAACTTATCTTTTAATTCCATGTTCCATGAACTTTTTGAAGTACACTCAAAGTAACAATATATGGCTCATGGGCTTGTTTTTATTAAATGAGCTCATGTAAAACTCTTTTTAAAATATATTTATTTATTTGCAAGTCAGAGCTACAGAGAGAGAGGGAGACAGAGAGAAATCTTCCACCTACTGGTTCACTCTCCAGATGGCTGCAATGGCCAGTGCTAAGCCAGGCTGAAGCCAGGAACCAGGAGCTTCATCCGTCTCCCACATGGGCTATTTTCTCCTGCTCTCCCAGGCCATTTGCAAGGAGCTGGCTCAGTAGTGGTGCAGCCAGGACATGAACCAGCACCCACATGGGATGCCAGCAATGCAGGTGGTGGCTTTTACCTGCTACACCACAACAGCAGCATCTCATATAAGGCTTTTTTCACCAGACATATTGCGGGCTCTGTGTACATGATTGTGGTATGTAAACATATTTTATATAACACATTTTAATAACATGATTTTTAAATACATGGTGACTATAAAAAAAGTAAATACATGATATATGATGTTTTAGAATATCACTTAAAACATTATACACACTTGTATTTAAAAATTCTAAATCTTACAGTTTATCACATTTTATCCTCATTTTATATGTTTTTTTAATTTCCTTATGTAATCATTTCACTTGGATGAATGAGTTTTTTTCTTACTTGTTACCAAAATCCTTGTTTCTCTGCTTTACCTCTCCATTCCTTGAATCAGGTTACTACAGAACCTGCCAGCTAACTCAGCAAATGGTATTTTATCTATGTATCATAGAAGGAAACAGAAACAGAAATTTCACTGCTATTACTCTTTGATGGCTGGCAGGTTCCACTTCTCTAAGGATGTATAACAATTAATATCTATGCTGATTTGTATATGTTAGAATTTTGTTCTCATTACACTTCAGACTATTCAAATCTGTGTTTACTAAAATGGTCTCCCAAATTTTGTAGGATTTTCTTATTTCAGGATTGCTGACTTAAAGCTTTTTCTCTGTTCCTGGAGCTGTGCTTCCTCTATAAAGCAAGCAACCACAGATTTTGTACTATGATTTTCAGAATAGGACAAAGAATACAATAGATTCACAGCATCCCACTCCTGCACTCTTCATTGTAACCTCTTGGTTGTTAACCTTGCTTCCTATTACACTGAGAATGAAAAATCAGAGAACTTTCCTGTTTTTCCAGCACCAAAATGACCAGCCTGCAGGAATTTGTGTTCAGGTCCTTTGTCCCCTCCTCTGCTATTCTAAGTTATTGCTGCTTATGTCAACAAAGACCCCTTCCATTGGCGCGCTGGATCTGGTCTCTATCATCTGCCGGAGAACTAAGGCCCTGTAATAACTCCTCCTTCTATCATTGTCTTTTCCTTATCTACTGAATCATTCTTGTCAAAAATCAAAACTAAAGCAAAACTCTTTCCCTGACCCCAAATTATTGCTGACTCATTGCCTTATTCCCCAACTTCCTTTGATAGCTGAAGGACAGCAAATTGTGCCACATCAAAATTCAAGGATTTGAAAACTTTCCTGAAAATATAAGGTTATATTTACTGTAGTCCAAAAATTTGAAATCCATGCATAAGTTTTTTCATTGTACACATTTTACATGAACTTTTAGAAAATTATCTTTTAAATTTATATTCATCTACATGAAAGGCAGAATGACACACAGAAAGAGAGACAGAGAGGAGAGAGAGATCTTCTATCCACTGGTTCACTTCCCCCCAAGTGCCTGCAAGAGCCAGGACTGGCCGAAGCTGAAGCCAGGAGCCAGAAACCCCATCTGGGTCTCCCACATGGGTGGCAAGGGCACAAGCACTTCAGCCATTATCTGCTGCCTTCCTTGGCATGAAGGCTCTTGACAGAAGTGGAGTGCTCTACTTGAATTTCCCAGCCTCCAGAACTATAAGAGATACATTTCTGTTCACTCTCAGGTGTTCTGTTGTAGTGACACAAAATGGGCTAAATAGATGCCATGTATGGAGACATTTTAGGACAACGTATTGAGGTTTATTCTTTTCCCCTGGGTATCTCATGTTTATATGAGATGGATGATCTCATGCTAATAAGCTAGATTTCTTTCCTTCTCTTCCCATGCCCAGCCTTTCTCTTCTTTTCTCCTTCCCCTTCCTGTCCCTTCCCCATCCCCTTCCTTTGTCTATCCTCCTCCCTTGTCTTCCCTTCCCTATCTGCTATATAACCAAACTTGTCTGATTTCTCTATCATCAATGTCTCCAAT